ATGAATCAAACCTCCAGTCTCCTAACCTGCCTGTAGGGTACTTCCTCCTGGAGAGCTGTCCAGAGTACAACAGAATCCTGAGCGCTAGATTCTAGTAAACGCGCACCCACTCTGTGTAGAATACGATCGGAAGCCAGAAAGTTGAGGAGAGGGTGTTCAGATAAAGACTACAGATAAGAGGTCCCTGATGGCGTTAATGACAAAACTTTGGGGAGTCATGATTTCAGGGTATCAAAAGAGGAAACTGATAAGAAAAAATTGGGTGCAGATAGTAAATTCTAAGCAGTGAGCCAGGAGAATGAACGGTAGCTAGGCAGACTTCCAAGGCGACACAGGACTAAAATTGGCACTGGTGTGCAATGGAGAGTGAAAGCAAAGCAACTGGAGGGTTAGTTTGAGGTCAGCCACCCGGCCTTAGAAGCACTATCCCCCCTGGAGTGTTGAGCACACCGGACCCTCCAGGCTGTTGAGATGGGCCTGGAGTAACTGTGTGTGTTTAATGGTCTTAATGTTTTCTGTGAGGTCCTGGGGTAATCGGGTGGGAGCGGGAAGTACCCTTGGCTGGGGGTGCTTGAAGGTCTGAGAAAGCTGGCGCCTGCTGGGGAATCAATAAAGGAGTCAGAGCAAAGCTTCGGTGTTTTGCTGTTTACAGGGTAGGGCTTTAACAAGGCTGTGTCGGCCCGGCGCGGGGTTGCCTCCGGGGCCGAGGGCGCCTAGGGATGGGGCCCAGCAGCTCCACGGCGAGGGGCCTTAGCGCGCCCCGCTCCTCGCACCGCAGGGCCAGCCGGGTCCCGGCGTGCAGGGTGGAGCCGGGGCGTCGGCGGGGCAGCAGCTGGAGCTCGTTTCGCTCTCCTCCCTGCAGGTGCGCTGGGGAAGGCGGAACGCGTAGGAGCAGGTGCCCACCATGGCCGGTCCGCAGCTTTCCGCCGCGGCCTCCAGCCCGCCGTCCCCGCGGAACGGCCTTCCGCAGCCCCTGTGAGGAGGAAGAGGAGGCGGCGGCGGACGAGGCGCCGCCCTCTTGGCGAGCTTCCCGACCCGGCGGCCTCCGCAGGACCCATGGCTGATTCCTCGCCCGAGCGGTCCCTGCGGGCAGCCGGACCCCGCACGCCCCGGCCCTCGGCCCCCTCGCCGCCGCCACCGTCGCGCTCGCTCTCCGAGGCCGAGGAGGCCGAGCTGTCGCTGAGCCTGGCGCGCACCAAGACCCGCTCGTACGGCAGCACGGCCAGCGTGCGGGCGCCGCTGGGCGCCGGCGTCATCGAGCGCCATGTGGAGCATCGGGTGCGCCCCGGCGACACGCTGCAGGGCATCGCGCTCAAGTACGGAGTCTCGGTGAGCAGTGCTGGTGGCTGCGGGCGGGGGCGCAGCGAGTATCGGGGCGTAGGGGAGGTAGCCAGCCGTCCCCTGGCGGCTCGGCCCCGAGCGCTTGCCCAGCGCGCGCTGCCGGGACAGCTACAGTCGCCAGAGCCTGTCCTGCAGCCAGAGGGGCGGGCCGCCAAGGCTCCCTCCCCGGGTGGGTGCATCCAGTTCTCGATGCCCTGTCCGTACTCAGACCGGATCTGCCGCGTGAGGAAGGAAGGTCAAAGAGGACTAGGGCGTTGGCACCCTGGGAGCCAAATTCGCCCGATTTTGAGTCCCGGTCGTACTGCTATATATTTCCTGAAAGCCGAACTGAGGTGCGGACTTGGGCAGAGAATTTTGTTTTCTGGGTAAACAATCGCTGTGATGAGTCAGGAAGGGTACAGTTGTTCCCCCAGGATGGTTCTGTTTCTATTGATTATGCTTCTTTATTTAGAAGTGAAATTACACCCCTGGGCTCACTGGCAACTGTGAATGTGACTCCTGTCGCTAAGCAGCGGCCAAGAATGTGGTCTAGGTGAGCTGCAGAGCTGTGTTTATTATAAATTTATAAGTGTGTGTGTCTTGGGCCTATTGCATTACACCTCTGGGAAGAACATGGAAAGCTGAGGGAACATATTGTTTCATTAAAATTACTTATAATTAACTCTGAACTATGTGATGGCCTTTTTACATTTGAGCTCTATATCAGTTTTCAATGTTCCTTCCTGAAGCACCCTAGACAGCAATGGGAAGAAAGATGATCTTATCTTTATCGTTCTCTTTAAGTGAAACTCTTTCTGGCCCTTCACCAGTGACAGAGACTGAGTCATCTCCTTTGCACACCCATTCTGGTATGTGTTTACCTGGCAGGTCCTTCTATCCTTTCAACATTTTGAGAGCAGGGAATCTTGCTGTGCAGGCATGTACTGGAGACTTCATGCCATGGTTAGTCCTATTCCGCCCTCTTGGGAGTTTCTAAAAGTGAACATAGAACTTCAATTCTTGTATTTGCATTCATGGGGCCTGGTTTGAGTCAGAGCCAGAGGAAAGCAGCGTTGGGAAGTATCAGCAGCTACTCTTTCTGCTGAATGCCTGTTGTGTGCCAGGCATTGCATTTGTCTTGTTCCATCTTGTTCTTATTCAGTTTGATTTTCCTAGTAAGCCTTGGAGATAGGTGTAATTAATCTCCTTTTTACAGATGTGAAGGTGGATGAGAAGTAAGGATATTTTCCAAGTATGCTTATTCATTGAGACCAGCTTGAATTATCACAGTGACAAAGCATTTGCTTTGCCCTAGGTATTACTTCTGATTTCCATCCTTATTTATTTATTTATTTTTTGCGGTACGTGGGCCTCTCACTGTTGTGGCCTCTCCCGTTGCGGAGCACACGCTCTGGACGTGCAGGCTCAGCGGCCGTGGCTCACGGGCCTAGCTGCTCCGCGGCATGTGGGATCTTCCCGGACCGGGGCACGAACCCGTGTCTCCTGCATCAGCAGGCGGACTCTCAACCACTGCGCCACCAGGGAAGCCCTCCATCCTTACTTTTATCCTAGCCTTATCAAGAGCTCTCTTAGCATCTTGATTACTGAAGAAGGGAGGTCTTTTCTGTCTGGTTTCTGTGCATCTTATCTACTAGGCTAGGCTGACTGCACCTAGGAATCCATGATACCCAGAGAAGTGTTGTTTCCCTGGTCCCTACCCACAGCAATCTCTCTGCATCCCACTGCCCTCCATGACTTCATTTGGGTTGCTCAGAGCTCCCGAACATCTGCTCACTGCGGTTCTCCACCTTTGATCAAATGCTTTCTTTTTTAAAAAATAAATTTATTTATTTAATTTATTTTTGGCTAAGTTGGGTCTTCATTGCTGAGTGCGGGCTTTCTCTAGTTGTGGCGAGCGGGAGCTATGCTTCGTTGCAGTGCTCGGGTTTCTCACTGTGGTGGCTTCTCTTGTTGCGGAGCACAGGCTCTAGGCGCACAGGCTTCAGTAGTTGTGGCTCACAGACTCAGTAGTTGTGGCTCGAAGGCTCTAGAGTGCAGGCTTAGTAGCTCTAGAGCACAGGCTTAGTAGTTGTGGCACAGGGGCTTAGTTGCTCTGTGGCATGTGGGATCTTCCCAGACCAGGGCTCAAATCTGTGTCGCCTGCATTGGCAGACGGATTCTTAACCACTGCGCCATCAGGTAAGTCCTGATCAAATGCTTTCTAATTCCTGTTTTCACTGATGTAGATCCTGTTACTTATAAATTTATCCCTTTTCATTAAAGCATAAATCAGGTTTTTCATTACCTTTATAAAGACTTGATTTTAAGATGTTAAGCTCAAGTGTCATGAATTGGGAACTATAATCTGTAGCCGCAGACAGTCTGTTTCAGGGTTTCTCAACTGCAGCCCTATTGATACTATGGACTGGATAATTCTTTGTCTTGGGGGGCTGTTCTGTGCATTGTAGGATGTTTAGCAGCATCTCTGGCCTCTGCCCACTAGATACCAGTAGCACTGCCCCCCTCCCCCCCATCCAGAAATAGCCAGATATTCCCTGAGAAGCACTCACTGTTGGTTGAGAATCACTGGTTCTCATTTACTTTGGACCCTGAACTCTAGTTGATGAAATTGTTAGAGACTCTTTCCACTGGTTCTGTAGAACTAGTGAAAGTGAAGATAATCACCGTAACAGTGAACTGATATTCTTGCAGATATTAACTGCAGACATTAATCGGATTTACTCATTGAAATTGATATTTCAGGTGGAAGTTAAAAAGGCAGGAAGGTTTTTTTCATTCCCCGACTGAACAGAGAGAAGTTGAGTGAGTTAAGTTTCTAATATTGACTGCCAAGATCACCCACACCGTATTTAGACTGGTTTTGGTTTTTTTTTTGGCTGCGCCGCATGGGGGATACTAGTCCCCCCTCCCAGCCCCAGGGATCCAACCCACACCCCCTGCAGTGGAAGCTCAGAGTCCCAACCACTAGACCACCAGGGCAGTCCCACCCACATTGTATTTAAATTAGTGTTTAAAGGAGTAGGTGATGAGATGTTGGAAATTTAGAGCCTACCTTGAACCTGCTGGATCAGAATATCCAGTAAAGGAGCCCAGGAATGTTCCTGTTGTACAAGCAGGGTCTCTTTGCTCTTTCCCAATGCTGTCCCTTCTTGGAGTCTTTGCCCTTGCTGTTCCATCCATCTGTTGGGAACACTTTCCCTGACAGCTGCATGCAGGGCCACAGGTACGTGCAGATGTCGGACCTGTGTAGTCACATAGGCCCCATGTTGAGAAGAGCCCTGCACTTAATGCTCCGCTGTTGCTGTCTTGAAATTTTTAATAATTTGTGAACAAATGCCCCACATTTTCACTTTTCTCTGGGACCTACAAATCACGTAGCTGATATTGGCTGTGTGACTTGCTCCCTCACTGCCTTCAAGTCTGCGTAAATGTCTCCTCCCTGAGGCCTTCCTGACCACTCCATGTCATACTGCAACGCTCCCTCATCCCAGTGCCCCCTCCCCTTTCCTGTTTTGTTTTCTCAACAGTGTTTACCATTCATCTGATTTTTCTTTCCTCTTTTTTCCCAGCTTCTACCTTTCTGGTGATACATTAGTGAATAAATAAAAATCCATGCCCTCATGGAGCTTATATTTTAGTCAGTGGAGACAGTAAATAAACAAAATATGTTATATATCCGGTGTTGATAAGCAAAATGAAAAAAAATTAATCAGGGAAAGGAGACAGGGCTGCTGGAGGCGGCTGCAATTTCAAATGGTGTGGCGGTGGAAGACCTCACAGAGAGAAACTGAAACTGCTGGGGATCAATTGAGAAACTATTCAATGTAATTCAGATCTCAGACACAGACTTGCTTGGGCTGGAATTTCCTGGGCTTTGCTCATCTCCACTGAGACATTAAGTCTCCTCCCCCAACCCAGTATTCTAGATTTTGCTACAGCTTTTGTGGTGATCCCAGCTCCTTTCAGTTGGAGGCAAGCCTCTGGAGGGAGCTGACCAGCTCCAGACAGCTGCCGTGAACTTTTTGTTAGGAAGCCCTGTATATAAACTGAAAGTGGGTGAGAGGCAGTGAGGGAAACTGTTATTGGCACAAACTTTTTCTTCATCTTTTTGTTACCCCCTGGAAACTTCCCTGTCCTCTACCCTCTCCAGACCATTGCCCCCAATATCCTGAGTCATTTCCTATCCAATTTTATTCCTGGGGTCTTCTCTTTCTCCTCCAGTGAGCTGCTAAGCCCACAGATGTCACCTTGCTGAGAAAAGGTGAAATGATTATCATTTTAGGGGGAACAAGTGCAGTGAGTTAGAAATATAAGTGTATATAAATCTTTTGTGTTTATAACTTTAGCTCCTGCTCTTGCTGGAAATGGACCTTTGCTGGTCAAAGGGAAGAGAACCATAACTAAATAGTGCCACCTGTTGTAAGAAGTATGGTAAAGTAGCCCTTAGTAGTTTTAGGTTTTAATAGATTCTCATGCATTCTTTATTTAAAAACAGCTTTATTGATATATAATTTACATATTACAAAATTCGCCCATCTTGAGTGTACAATTCAAGGACTTTTAGTAAATTTACAGAGTTGTGCAACCCTCACCACAATCCAATTTTAGAACAGTTCCATTACCCCGAAAAGATCCCTTACTCCCCCTTCTCTTCTTTTGTCCCAGATAACCATGAATCAGCTTTCTAATCTATAGATTTGCCTTTTCTGGACATTTCATAAATGGGATCTCATATATTCTTCTGAGATAGCATGGAGAAGAAAAAATCCTTTCCCTTATTATTAGCACATGGCAACGGAGGAGGCTGATAGCCACCAACACCTAGCACTTAATAGGAGACAGCGGAGTGAGGAGGTTGAATCCAGCACTTACTAGAACACGATCTTGAGAGAATGCTTTAATGTTGAAGTCTTTTCCTCTATAATGATGATAATAATCAACTGAGAGTTGTGTGTATATGGAAATATTCCATAAGCAACACAGTGCTGTGTAAATGTTAGTTATCATGGGTCCTGAAATGTTTTCAGAACAGTCTGTCTTTTTTTAAGGAACGGAGAGGAAGAAAAAGAAGCTTTGAATGTTGCATTCCCAGTTAGGCAGGTGGCCTAACGAAGCTGATCGAAAGTAGCCTTTGGGGAGAGTTCTTGATCATGCCCAGCGGAGGTAGCTATTGAGATAACTTGGGGGCGGGGATATTTTGTGAGTTCCCTCCACAGTGAATTCACCTTTACAGATGTATTTACAGGGGAGTCATTTTAAACAAGTTGTCGGTGGTATTTGTTCTACCTGATTTCACCACGCTCGACCTTGTGGCCATCCTGTCAGCTCTTAACTTGATTATTCCATAAATTGTTTCTTAGTAAGCAGATGGTAAATTTCACTGAATCATGCTACTCAATCCTGATTAGGAGACAGTTTTAAAATGAAAGCATTTGGTTGCTGTGTCTCCCCCACTAGTCATTTGCTCTCAAGAAACGGAGGGTAGTTCTGCATCACTTTGAAAAGGTCACACTTTCTATTCTCAGCGTTTATTGGGTAGTAGGAGATATTGAACAGAGGGCAGGTGGTAAAGCTGTAGAGTTTTTCAGTTCTTCCTTGTATTGGATCATGACTTTTCTTAGTTTTATGTGAGGTGAAATTTCCAGAACATTAGACCCATCCAAGTTCAGATAAAAGCATAAAACATTCCAAAGCAAATTAAAATATCATTTCACTGTTTGGGATTATTTATATTTCTTATCTGTGCTATTGCAGTTTCTTCCATAACTGAGCTTCCTGTTTCCACTGATGCCTCTTTCTTACCAATCCATTTTCCATAAAGCTGCTGGAGTGGTATTCAAATCATGTCACTCCCTTCCTTTACCCTCCAATGGTTTCCCACCACATTTAAAGTAAAATCCAAATTTTATTTATTATATGAGTGGCCTGCAGCTTGCTCATTACTCCGTATTTCAGCCACAGCACTTTTTCCTGCTCTGGGGCCTTGTAACTACTCTTTCTGGAAGGACTCCTTTTTTTTTTTTTTTTTTTCCCCTGGCTTTTGGCGTGGCTGGTTTCATTCCTTAACTTCACTACTGGTAATAGAGTTTGGAGCCTATGGTTGTAAAGGAGAACAAGTTAAGATCAAATTAAATACCTTATAAAAAAAATGCTCAGACCTCAGGGCAGTGACAGTATATTATGTTATTCATCTGGGCTTGTTTATATGAAATTTTCTTACATGTTTTTACTTTGGGAGAATTTTTTTTTTTTTTCTTTTTGCGGTACGCGGGCCTCTCACTGTCGTGGCCTCTCCTGCTGCAGAGCACAGGCTCCGGACACGCAGGCCCGGTGGCCATGGCTCACGGGCCCAGCCGCTCCGTGGCATGTGGGATCCTCCCGGACCGGGGCTCGAACCCGTGTCGTCCCCTGCATCGGCAGGCGGACTCTCAACCACTGTGCCACCAGGGAAGCCCAGAAATATTTTTTATGGAGAGAAAATTCCTACCTCCTTCCTCCTTATTTGCTGAATACATGTTAGGATCTGCCCTTACTTGTTGCTTTCTCACTTTTAACCAAGTTTAATGATAGTTGCTAACATTTTTGTGCGCTTCCTGTGTGCCATGCATTGTTCTAAGTGTTTTACATGAATTAACTCATTTAATTCTCATAATAATCATATTGTGTGGAAAGTACTATTTTCCTTACTTTACAGAAAAGAAAATAGACATAGGGGATGATTAGAAAGTGGTAAAGCCAGGATTTGAACCTGGAAAGTATGGCCCCAGAGCCCTTGTTTCTAAGTACTACCTTATATTAACCTCTTTTATCTGTTTTCACCTTCAGTTTCAAATCTGCCCATCCTTAGATTGGTTCCCACCTTGATGCTAACTATGTCTGGACATCCCTGATGTCCTTGATGCTGGCAACCATGTGTCTTCTTAGAGTCTAGACCGTAATGGTCAACATACACCGTAAATGCTTGCTGGCAATGCTGAGATGAAGAAGCAGTTCCTGACATTGGGAAGCTCATAGACTTGTTAAAAGAGGCAGTTCTATTGGTGAATCAATGGTAGAATGTCATGCATGAGAGCTAGGAGAGCCCTGCCCTTCATTCCCTGTGGACTCCCTGACTACACACAGCCTTTTTACTCAGTCCATTTGTCTTGTGCTTCCTGTCTTCAGCCCCTTGCCTGGCTATGATGGCCTGTCTTGCTCTGAGTGGTGGATGTATCAGGGTCCCCACAGAATACATTTAGCGCACTCCAAGGGTGTGGCCAGAGAGGGTTTAATGCAGGGACATTTACAGAAGTGTGAATAGGATTAAGAGAACCAGGAAGGGATGGTGCAGCACCCGAGAGCAGCAACAGCAGGGAGACATTAACCCTAGGCCTGAGGGCCAGCGGAAGGAGTGGGGTACCCGACACCAAGGAGAACGGGAGGAGTGGACAAGGGGCTGCCTGGTAGGAGCTCTGCTGTAGAGGGATGCAGGCACCAGAGTCATGGTGTGGTTGTTCTGCTGGTGACTTCCTTGGGAACACTGACTGGAATTCCAAGAACAAGGGGGTTTGGGGAGTGCAGTCCTGAAGAGGTCAGCCTCCTGCAGTTAGAACAAGTTCAAGAAGACTGGGGGATGGATTGGGAGGTGAGGGTGGGTTTAAAGGCAGAAGAATAACCAACAAAACAGATAACTTATCACCCCTTCCTGGTTACTTCTCTGGGTTCATCTTTTATGCCTGTTTCTCTGATCTGTATTAATTATTAATTAATTAATTAATCCATCCATCCTAAGCACTTAGTGTGCATAAGATCTTTGTTAAACCTGGGAGGCTCTAGAAATAACCGGTCTTGACCTGAGGGAATTCACAGTTAATGGCTGATGTTCCCAGCCCAGCTTCAGCAATCAGATCCCGGTGTTCCTGGCTGTTTCTGTCTTCCATCATTATTCCCAGGAAACAGTGTCTGTTAGCAGTTGTAGGCCCCTGTCAATAAGTATTTCAAGGGTACTGTATCAGTGAGGGTTCTTTCATGTACAAGGGACAGAAAACTCAAGTTGGCCTAAGCAATAAAAACAAAACAGAGTGGCATTTACTGGCTCATTACTGGAACTGAAGGGTGCGAGGGTGTTCTGGCTTCAGGCTTTGATTCAGAGGTCTGATCGCTCTCCTTCAAGGTGGCATTGTTGTTAGGTTCCTTGTGGTGGAAGGATGGCTGCCAGCAGCTCCAGGCCCATCTCTTTCTCACAGAAAAAAATAGAGGTCCTTCATCTCCCAGACTCAGCAGAAGTCTCCTTGCATCTCTGAATTGTTCCGAGATGGGACTGTGACCTTTCAGGAGCCGGGGAACTGTGATGCTTCAAAGGGCAGGAATGAGTCATGTGCTCACCCTGGAGCCAGGGGAGGACTCAGTGCCCCTGGAAGCCCTTATACTAAGAGAGATGGAGGGCGTGGATGCTAGGTGGTGAAAACAAGAGGTACTAAAGGGAGATTAGGATATACCTGAACCTGCTATGGATAAGTTTTCAAGTTCTTTAATTTGCTCAAATCTAAGCCTAAACTAGACCAGAGACACTTAGGATTTTTAGATGTTAATTCTGTCTCTAAAAGTGTACCTGCCTATTCATGTTCTTTCTCACCCTTGCCTTCTCTCTTTTAACTAGAAACTAGAACATAAAAGACCACCCTACACAAAGATACTTTAAAGTAGTATCTTTAAATGAAAAAAGAAAACATTGAATGTGCTATTTGTGTGGATTCAGCTTATAGCTAGAAAGCAGGAGGAGCAGGGCCCATCTTATTCAACCATTATTTTTTCAGGCTCTTTGAAGTGGAAATCTAATTTTTTCACTCAGTCGATTTGGCATTAAAGGATCCCAGAACTGGGTTCCATTAGTCATGCACTTTAATCTTGGTGTTGTACGTATGGACTTTAGAGTCAGACGGAAATTCTGGCTCATACAGTTGCGGAGCCATATGCACTTGGTCAAATCAGTCATCTCTTGTGTGCCTTAATTTCTTCATGGGAAAATGGACAGTAAGTACCATTTACTGCTAAATTGTCTCTCCCTTTCACACCTATATCTTTACACCTACACCCATATCCTCTATGCATATACATGTATAAACTCTCATTTAATCCTTCCAACAACCCTGTGAAGGGTAGATGATACCTGTCTTACACATGAGGAAATAGGCTCAATGAGAGAAGTAACACGCTTATGTTCAGACAGTTTGTGTTGGTGGAGCTGGGATTTGAAATTAGCTCTGTCACATTCCCAAGCCTGTGTGCTTAGCTGTTGTACCAAGCTGTCTTGGTGACAATACCTCACAAGAAAATTAGATGGTACAGTGCATGTAAAGAACCTAGCATGGTGCGAGTTCCCAGGCTAGTTGGGTGGAGAAGTCTGCAGATGCATGATAGTCGGGTGTGATGAACATGAGGGTAGGTATTTCTCCGACAGCTCTGCAAGAGTCCTGTCTGCACTTACCGACATTTGTGGACTTAGGCATGCCACTTAACTCCCTTGAGTCTCCCTTTCTTCATCTGTAAAAAGGAGGTGATAATATCTAGCTTGCAGTTCTGTTAGCAAAGTTAAATGAGGTAACATATGTAAATTCCATTCCCCTTTTCACCCCTACCTGCTATCCCCATTTCTTTGGTTTGGAGGAATTCACAGGGTATGAAAGAGTTTGAAGTTTTGAAACCTGTATTAAATTCTGTCTTCTTCATCTGCTAGTTGTATGATGATTCCATGGTACATAATCTCCTTGAGTTTTGTTTCTTTTATTTGAAAAGTGGATCTTCAAATACCTAATCTGTAAGGTAGAAAAAATAAGATACTCTATGTAAAGTGCTCCCTACCTGTTTTCCTTACCTGTCCCACTTCTACCCATTCTTCAAGGTCCATCTAAAGTCAAAAGAATCAAAATCAGAACCCCACCTTCTCTGTGAGGGCTTTCTTAATGACTGCAGCCCCAGCCTACACCATTCTTCCTAATTCTCGTTGTACTTTTTTCTTTACCACCTCCTGTATCCATTAAATTTACCAAACACAATTCTAGAGATGGGAAGCACTCCATAAGGAAAATCACAGCACTAAGAACTTTGTTTTTTTAAATCAGATAATAGAAATGTTAAAATAAGATTGAAATGTATTAAATAAGTGCTAAATATTCTACATTTTTTAACTTCAGGGATTTAAGGCTGCTTGGTAAAAGCTGCCTTGTAGGGGAAATAATATAGCAGGGGAAAAACTAGTCTTTCTTCTTATAAAATTGTGAAAGAGAATTTTCTGGCACCTCTTGAAATAACTGGGGGTATCTGGAGAGGTGACTAACCCCGAATTAAGAATTTCAGATCCAGAGATAGCATTGCACACATTTTGCTTATGAATATTTTTATTTTGTGTTGTATAATAAACCCTACTCTTGGATTTATTTATATGTAACTCTGTTGCTTTTTTAAAATATTTTAGATGGAGCAGATTAAAAGGGCAAATAAACTGTTTACCAATGATTGTATATTTCTGAAGAAAACTTTGAACATCCCAGTTATATCAGAGAAGCCTTTGCTGTTTAATGGACTTAACTCAATAGATTCTCCAGAAAATGAAACTGTTGATAGTTTTTCTCATGAAGAAGACCTGGTAGCGGCTGGGGAAGACCTTTCCCCTCCCAGTCCTCAAGAATCTGATGCTCAGCCCATGCAGCCGGAGGAAGTGTCAGCCAGAGATTTCCTGCAAAGGCTGGACTTGCAGATTAAGTTATCAACACAGGCAGCCAAGAAACTAAAGGAAGAGAGCAGGTAAAAATATGCTGGAAAAATGTCAGAGGCTGAACAAATTACTCTTAAGATGTCCTTGCTTGGTCAAATTTTCTTTTCTTTTTTTGCTTTAAAAGCTAGATTTTAATTCTAGACAGGATTTTTTTTTTTTTTTTGCGGTACGCGGGCCTCTCACTGCCGCGGCCTCTCCCGTTGCGGAGCACAGGCTCCGGACGCACAGGCTCAGCGGCCATGGCTCACGGGCCCAGACGCTCCGCGGCATGTGGGATATTCCTGGACCGGGGCACAAACCCGTGTCCTCTGCATCAGCAGGCGGACTCTCAACCACTGCGCCACCAGGGAAGCCCTAGACAGGCATTTTTAATGTATAAAGTCTAAACAGAGCTACTGCATTCTGCATAAAGCTTTATCTGCTGCAATGCTTTTGTTTTTGTTACTTCGTATAAAAAGTTTACTTCTTTGCTTTAATAGCATAACTGTCCAGCTAGTAGTTCTGGAGAGCATCCAAGTAGACGTCTAGTTGACACCATCAGAGGAAGCAGTGCCCTATAGATTACTTGTAAAATACTGTTCTTTATAAAACTTGCCAAAGACATTTATTACTTGTTACCAGGTGTTTCCTATATAAGATCTCATGTGAGCTTTTTTTCTTTGTTCTTTAATTTGGTACTAGGGCAAAACTTTCTGTCTCCTATAGAATTGGTTTCCTTCTTCCTTTATCATTCCAAGCATGGCACAACCTATTGTGTTTTCTTTTTTGCCCTGGCTACCAGGAAGCTTGCAGCCAAAACTGGTCCTCAGTTCAACTACTACAATATTGCTGATGGTTAATATATTTGTATCCTTCTCCTTTCCTTAGTCGTGATTTTTAATTTCTATTTTATTCATAGTATATGTATGCCTTTTGTTGTAGGTACCTCAAATCCTTTTGAGAAAGAGGTAGAATATTAAAAATATAGACAAATATAAATGTGAATATAATTTATAATTTAATATAAACTTATATAATATAAACAAATACAAATATATAACAAGTACCATTCTTTATTCCAATAACTGAGACACCAGTAACATGGGGACAATGAATATTCCTTAGTGAGTGTTTGCATTTTGTACAACTTTCAAGGCATGCATGATATTATAAGTTGATATAACTCCTGCACTTCTTTGGCAAGTGGATATTAAGTTGTATAATGAATATGTGTGTTAATTTTCTGAGTACAGTTTTTAAACACTGATTTATGCTGTGTTTCTTTTTTTCAGAGATGAAGAAAGTCTCTTTGCAACTTCCCTCTATCACAGTTAGATGCAGGGGGCATAATCTAACCTGGGTTAAGAGATGGTTAGATCATAAAGAAACCAACAGCTGATGATTCAAAAGCATCCCTTTTGGATTCTCATAGCATACATCTTTAAATCACAATTAAGTAGTTCCACCTACAGCAATTGCACTGAAGTGACTAGCTCCCTCTGGCTTTCTATGATTTTCAGTCTTTATTATGGCATGACAGCAAAATTGTATCTTAAAGCTCATCACTTTTGCAAGCGGTGGTAGTTTTTCGACTAGCTTTTGTAAATACTAGTTGACATAAAGCCACAAAGACTGTTTACATATTCAAGGTAAAAATGTTTATTTCCTGAGAAATCCTAATTATGTGAAAAACATGGTTGCTGTTTAAGTGATGCTGATTTTGCTATGTGTTTATAACTTAAGTGCTATATATATATATATTTCGATATGTATTACATATTCTGTATTACTATAAAGAAACAAATTTTGTCTGCTATTTTGTAAAAATAAATTCCAAAAGTCTGAATGAGAAAATAAACTATGTTTTCATATTTTAGTCTTCAGTTTTCTTCAACAAATGGGAATATTAAATTGATTTTTAAATTATAGTTTTAAATGGTGACAGCTTCTCCTCTACTTTAATGGTCTTTATTATTATTACTGTAGTTTTGAAAAAGGTTTCAATAATCTAAAAACAAATACATTGCAATTACTAGTAACCTTTGCATTTAAATAATATCTGACTTGGTGTGTTTCAGATATAGTGAAAATATGGAATATATCAAAAGAAGAAGTAAACAACACCATGACTGGACACACTGGTGAATTTCAGCTTACATTTCATTGATAAGTCACTTTATAGAATGTTTTACAGCATTTTACAGTCAAATGCTCATTTGAATTGAAGGGTTAGATTTTTATTCACATAATTTGTCTTAGTTTTTTATATGTACAGGTTACAGCAGTAAAGTTTAAGAAATGTATTATTTGCAATTAAATTTTTTTGATCTCCATTTCTATCCAAGTATCAGGTTAAATAAATCTTTAAGCTTCCACAAAAATTCCTTGTATTTATCCCTCACCAACATCCCAAAAGGAGTCTGCATTCTGTGAGACAAGAAGGACCTTGTTTCCCTTCTCTTCTCCCTTTTCTTTTTCCTCATTATCTTCTCCCTGCCTTGCTCCTCCAGGTCTTCCATTAAGCAGGAAACAAGTGCCCTTAGGTGTTGGTGCAGCAGAACTTGTTGAACCAGAACTGCATATATCCACCCCTTGAGACTAACAGGGACATGAATGGGAAAACAGTAGCTGTTTGCCCATGTCTTGAATTTCTTGTTTGTTTATAACGTCCACAATCCCTTGTATTTTGGGGTTTTTTCCTCATTATTTTTTCTCATGATAACCTCTGTTTTTATTTCTCATGTTTCTTTTTCCTAACGTTATTATCATCTTTGCTATAGGGTGATCTCCTTGTCATGCTTTGCTATTTTCTTGTATCCATCGCTACCTGAACTATGGGGAGGTCGTTGGAAAAGCAGAAAGCTAAAAGAAAAAAATAAAGGAAGGGAAACAGTTGTGTATGTAAGAAAAGGTCAAGGCCTCTAAAAAAAAGTCCAGGGATTTTTTTTTTAATGTTAATAGTTTTATGCTATTTAACATAAAATAATCTGAAATTTGAGAGTAATCTAAAAGACACAAATCCAAAAACACTATCCAAAAGACATAAGTTCAAATTTGAAATGAAGACCACAATCTCAAAAACATTTTTCTGAGTCTTTTATTTTTGCCTAAGATCTCTCTTAGCAATTCCTAGCCAAAACACTTCTTCCCTCATCTTCAAGTTACTAAAAACTGATTTCACTGAGACCACAGTTGAAACGTCCTGGACTAGAGTTCTTTAGTCGCTGCCTTGCACACAGAAGTGCTGTGGAGGAGGGAACTAAGACAAGAACCTGGGTTCTAATCCTGGCTTTACCACTTCTTGGCCATCAGAGTTTGAGCATGTCCAGTGCTCTCTTTTTTTTTTTTTTTTTTTTTTTGCGGTACGCAGGCCTCTCACTGTTGTGGCCTCTCCCGTTGCGGAGCACCGGCTCAGGACGCGCAGGCTCAGCGGCCATGGCTCATGAGCCCAGCCGCTCCGCGGCACGTGGGATCCTCCCGGACCGCGGCAGCAACCCGCGTCCCCTGCATCGGCAGGCGGAATCTCAACCACTGCGCCACCAGGGAAGCCCTCAGTGCTCTTTTTGTGAACCTCATGTATGAAACAGGACTGAAGAGCTCCCTCTGTCCTGCTTATCAGTAGGAGCTAAGGAATGTCAATGTGCTCTGAAAGCTACAATGAACTCCCTTAGTAAATGTCTTATTTTTAAAAATACTGCATAGATATTTAGATAAACTATAGAAAAGTGAATGGATAAAATGCTTGAGTCATAATCAGCTAATTCTCTCTAATGTAGAAGCAGCGTGTTTGGACTACAGGCCATGGTGAAGTCGAGTCAGCCATGTTATCAAAGATGACTCATGCAAACAGTCTGACTCATTGTGCTTTGGCAAGTATAGTTCTGGCAAAGATGTTTTTAGTTCCCTCTCACCATTCACCAACGGGTATTGGCTTCTCTAGAACATCCTGAGTTTTGTTTCTGTGTGCGTCAGGCTGTGGTTTTTGTTTTTGCAATTCTAGAGAGAGTAGGGAAGAGCAGCAGTAGGGAAGAGTTTCCTCCCTGTGAAAACAGCCTCTTGTAGCTTTCCTGTATGTTCCCCGGTCCTCACCAAAAACTGAATATGAGGTAGGGACGTTCAAGACAGGTGTCAGAAGCCATCTGAAGTAGTGCCAGCTGATATACATAGTATTAAGTTATTTTTATGATTTTCAACTGAAATGTATAGAAAAATATTTATGTACTTAATTTATACTGAATAATACATTTTCAAAGCATTAACATTTCCGGAGGACCTTGGGTCACTGTGTGTTGTTTCCAGGACTGTGTTGGTGGTGGTGGCTGAGGAAGAGGGGTTGCAGGGATCTGACATTCATTAACCTTGTCCTCTAGGGGAACTCATCTACCAGCTTTGGTTCACAGGGGAGGGAATGATTTTTATCTCTATATCTACCCTACTTCCTGGCCCTCTTGCTCTCTGTTGAGAAACCTTGGCTTGGATCAAATTCCGTTTAGATGACTCAGACCTGGAATCAATTTTTATCTTGCTTTATGTAGCGTTTATGACCTCATTTGTCTTGGAAAGTACATAGGTAGTATCCCTCTTAAGAGAAAAACTCAATGTCTGAAAACTCACTAATAGAAAATGTTGAGAGTGGGGGGGAATTGTTAATAAATCCAGCAAATCCTATGCCCATTTTTCAGGTTCCTTTCTGTGCCATTGGGCCTGATAAAGAGCCAGCAGGAGCAGGCAAAAAAGCAGATGGCTATACTTTAAGCTATAGAGGCTATGAGGAAATGTGAATTTATTTAAACTCCCAAAAGGGAAGAGGTATGGAAATGACATAACAGAGATATCCTACGAGGTGCTTTGGTACCCAGCATGCCTTGAAAACAGAACCCCCTAATTCTTCAGGGGGTGCTTGTATGTGTGACACAGTGGGATGAGGGTTCAGTTTTAAGTTCAGTCCATTACAGGCTTTTCCAAAGCAACATAGATCTGCTTATAAAATGTAAATCTATAAGGAAATAAGGATTCTATATACAAAATCTCAGCTTACATACAACTTTACTTTTTGGATAGTTTTTATGGCAAGAAAGCTATGTTTTAACCACTTCTAACAGATTAACTACTGTAAATTCAGCACTTTCTAATAATCCTTGGGTCAAAATAACTTTAATCACAGAATTAGAAGTGTTTTAAGCTACACTATGTTTTCTGAAACAGTTAAAAGACTCTTGGGTCATTTGCCATTTTTACAGGGTGCTGTAAATACGCTTAATGGCATCGGCTTCTTCTTTATCAAGGATGCCTTTCTCCACATAAGCATCAGCTTGTTGGTTGATGAAGTCCCTCATCTTTGAAAGGTCATAATCTGGAAAATATCATTAGAGTATCATGAGCAAAGATAAGGAAAGCACAGCCCATTACAGTGATTACCATTAACGAAGAAGCATCTTGTAGAACATCATTACCATGCCCTGTCTTTCACGTTGGAAGGCATTTTAGTTCTTGGCATTTGTGCTGTAGTTTGCAGCTTCAAATCATGTTTACACGCATTATGTTATCCCACCTGCTCTTCATCACAACTTTTCGAGGTGTTCAGGTGGGGAGAACAGCCCTCATTTGACCAGAGAGGGAACAGGCTCATAAACCAGGCCTTGGCAGACTTTAATATTTATACCAATCACCTGGGGCTTTTGGAAAGTTGCCAATGTGTATTCAGTAGTGCCCCAGATTGTGCATTTTAAACGAGGTCCAGGAGATGTTGATGCTGCTGGCTCAGGAAACACACTTGGGGTAACAAGACCCTAAAGCTTAAGTGCCTTATACAAGGTCATGCCGCTAGTAAAAGTTATAATCAGAACCAGGTGTTCTGACTTGAACTTGTTACACTGGTTAAGCCCATGTTGCCGTGACAACCCACTTTTTTTTCCCCGCATTAAGAATTACCTTGATTTTCATGTTGTTTGAATTACATGCATGGAGTGAAAAACGAAACCATAACCTCTTTGTGGTTCCTCTGTCCGACTTAAACAAAAAAGTTAGGTAAACCATTGAACCGTCCACAAAAAACAAAGAGATCCTCAACCAAGTAAGGAGGGGGCTGGTGGCATCTTTCTGAAGGCTTGAAAAAAACCCCACATCTTCCCTTGATTCTTTAAGTGTTATATGCTTATTGTTTTAAAATATGGAAAATATAGAAACATGAAAATAAAATTTAAATCACCTGAATTCTATTAATCATTGATAACCAGAGTGGATATTTTGTTCTGTTTCCTTTTAGCTTTTGGATGTATCTTTCTCAACACAGTTATGATCACAGCGTACATTCAACCTTATACCTAATTCCTTGCACTCAGTTTACACAGTGAGCATTGATATTCCTCAGAAACACCATTTTTAGTGGCTACATACAATACATCCTATGGAGGAGAAAGGAGAGAGGGGGATACAAAAGCTCAGAGCATTCTATGGCCACCTTTAGCTACCCTGAATAGAAGCTGAACCTGGGTCACTCGGGCATCTTTAAGCCCCTGCATGAAAGGAAAACCAGACTTGAAGGACCTCTGTACAAGCACCAGGTGTTTATCATACCGTGGTGAGCTGAGGTTCAGAGAGAGGTTGTTTTCTCTCCACCCAGGAGGGCATTTGCTCCTTTCAGTTTGGGCTCGGCCATGAGGATTGAAGTGAGAACTCCCAGCCCTGGACACTTTACAGCCATCATCTTATTTGCTCCTCACAAAACCCCATGAGGAAAGCATTACTGTCCCCGTTTCAGAGATGAAGAAACAGGACAGAGGAGGTAAGTCACTTGCTCCGGTCATAATAGAGTCAGGTTCTGAATTCAGGTCTGTCTGTAGTCACTGCTTTGACCACTCTACGGCCTTGAGGT